ATTTGGCAATTAGAATCGGTGGTGTCGTACTGGTCGGTGCTATAGATTGCGTCTCGTTTTTGCTTCTTCTCTATTACCGCCACCTCCTGTAATATCGATTGGGGCTTCTTTTGGTTCAATTGGATTGATTTCTATTTAACCTCTCATCCGCCGCTTCTTCTCAATCCACAAAACTTTCAACCGCTTGGAATGTCGGCAATGCAGTTTCCTCCTTCCACTACTCCCTACGCTTCTCCTCTTTTTCTTTTGAAAGAAATCGACATAAAGCGGCCACAAATCGAACTCATGGGAGTTTGGATTTCTCGATTCCTCTATGAGACCACCGGAGAGTGTAATCGATCGATCGCTCACCACAGAACACTCCGACGATTCCGCCAGAGCCGACGCCGCCGACTCCGCCTCCACCACAGAACACTCCGACGAGTCTGCCTCCACCACTACAGAAGTCAGCGAGCCCTAATTTCGTGCAAATCTACTTCGACTACGGCGTCATCCACAACCGACGAGTCCTACTTCGTGTCGGGTACATTCAATGCCGAAAATATTTCACAATTGGTCCCTGTGGTTTACAAAATATCGCACTTTGAGGACTTCCTAGCAAAAAGTCACGCGAATGGTCCTTAAGGTTTCATTTCATTGCGCGATTGGTCCTTGACCCTAACCCCGTCACTTTTGTACCGTTAGTGAAGGGGTAAATTTGTCTTTTCATCTTGTTGTGCATCAGAGTATATAATGTAAGCCCCACCTTCGTATCCTTTTACTTCTCGTTCCTTACCTCTGTTCTTCCCTCCCCACTCACATTCTATTCCAAAATAGAAGAAGATGGTGATATGCCACTGTGGAAGGCCGATGATTTTGGTGACATCGTGGACTGATTTGAACCCAGGTCGTCGATTCTGGTCATGCTCAAAGTTAGGAGGAACATGCAACTTTTTTGGATGGTTCGATCCTCCCATGTGCCCTAGGTCAATTGTTGTGATTCTGGGGTTGTTGCGTGGAAGAAACAATCTCGAATCAAGATTGATGATGGTGAAATGGTTACTTTGTCTGAGTTGGTTGTTTTTCTTGATGTGTTACTTTTTCAAGTAAAAAATCAAGAAGATTTTGGGGGGAAATATGTGATTTAGAATCTGTGTTTTGGTCCCATTTTTGTTTTAGCTTTTGAAGGATTTTCCCTGTGATTGTATGTAATGTTGGGACAAGAAAATGTAATGAATATTATATGTAATGTAATTTTAATGTATAGTTTTAATGTGATGGATATTATATTAGCAAGGAAGCAAATTGTCAATTTGATTGCATGTAAGTGTAATGTTGATTATTAATGTGCAGTAACATAACCAAAAAACTAATTACCAAAGTGGCATTACCATTAACCATAATGCATGTAAGTGCAATATCATGTTACAAACATACAATACCCAAAATACCTATCAAAAGTAATTGTTTTGACTGACATACCATAACCAAACTTAGTAAACATGTTCTAACTTTACTTAGACATAATAGCAAAAGATTACTTAAAACTACAAACTAAGCTACAACATGTTTCCCCTTCTTCTGTCCACTCCCCTTTCCAGCTTCACTAGGACCTCCCTACCCCTTGCATGTCCTGGAATTGTGACCTTTGTTGTGGAATTTGCTACAAGTGACTGTCAAGTATTTCCTACTTAACTTGGTACTTTGAGTTGGCTCATCAACTGCCCTCTTCCTTTTTTTATTTGGCCTGCCAACCTATAAACAAATTTATATGGTTACATATCAACAAGTTTATTAAATAGTTTCAAGTTAAATTATACAAAACATGTATGACAATAAACCTGTTTGTGATGTTTGGGTGGGAGAAGGGTTGTTGGACAATCAGATCTAGGCCACATGCTCCTTTCATTTATTGGGTCAATTGTGTGTTGGTACATAGCATTCCATGTACTAAGCCAGTAACATTTGCTCACCCAAGCCTCAAGATCTCCACATTCTGACCCATTCTGCATCTTATCATACATTGCAGCAATAGCATGCTGGCATGGAATACCTGTAATCTCCCATTTCCTGCATGTGCAACTCCTCTCTTTCAAGTTCACAACATACTGCTCCATCCATAGACCAGTCACTTGATATTTATCAGCTCCATTAAATAGAACCCTCATCTGATTTGCCTATGTCTTATTGTTTTCTAAGGTTGTTGTTGCAGTTGTACTTAAAGAACCTTTGCATTTGTCTAGCACCTTATGAACATTTACTATTCTCTTTGTGAGGTATTCTACAATATATTCCAAACAAGTGATTATAGGCTTGTCGCTTGCCTCATCTAACTTGGAGTTAAATACCTCACACAGGTTATTTGTCAAACTATCAGTCAATGCCCTTCCTATATATAAAACCAAACAATTAATTTCTGAAATCAGTTATGAAATGTGTTAGTGAAAAGAGTTTGATACTTACCAAAGAAATGGGATCTTGCCCAGTGTTTTGCAGGAATTTTACTTAACCACTCATGTTCTTCTGGGTTAAGCTTTTTTAGTTTCTCCATAGCCCTATTAAATTTTGGTATGTTGTATACTTTTCCACAACACCATACTGCTTCCCTCAATTCATCTCCTTTGTGTTTCAATTTCATGTTGTCATACACATGTCTTAAACAGAACCTTTGCTCGGCTGATGGAAATAGCTTCTCTATTGCAGCCAAGATTCCCTGTGAGTACAATTAAAATAAGTTAGTAAATGAAATTAAAAAAAAAGTAAAAGTTGTTGACGTTAGAGGGTACCTTTTGCCGATCTGAAATGAAAGTGGAGTTAGATGAAGAATTCAAATCTAAGCCATCACCCCAAGTGTTCCAAAAACCATGACTAAGAGTTAATATTTTCAGTCTCTACAATGGCATATGCAACTGGGTAAATGCCATTGTTCGAATCAAGCCCAACTGCAGTGAGAATCTGTCGAGGAAAGGGACCCTTCAAAAACGTACCATCAAATCCAAGAAAATCCCTCAAACCTTTTTTAAATCCCTCCTTCAATGGACCTAAGCATATATATATATACACGTTTGAAGATCCTTGTTTCAGAACACAAATTGGGTTCAGTTTCGACATCTATCTTCACAGTTGTTCCTGGATTCTTTGACTTCAATTCCATGGCATATTCTCTCAAAATACCATATTGCTTTTCATAATCACCATAAACATATTGTTTTGCCATAGGTTTGGCCCGGAATACTTTCATCTTTGATATTGAAAGTGAATACCTATGTACTAAGTCCTCCTGTAAAGCATGTGTAGGGATCTTGGGGTTACTTTCAACTTGATGCAATATGTTGTTAGCTAGAAACTTAGATGAACAAGCCCTCACTGTCCTTGTTTGCAAACAAGAATGACAATCTTCGTATGTTTTGACTGTCCAAACTTTTTTTTCATCTGCCCTAGATATAAAAAGAACCCATGGACAAGTTGTTTTCTTGGAAAGTACTAAATTGCCCCTACCTTTATTACTGTCACCAGTCAATTCAGGGACAAGACCCCTACACTTTACCCTAACTCTTGTCTTGTCATTCTTTACATAATGTAGATCCCTCCTTTCTTTTACAGAGTAGTTGGCAATAACTTCTCTGATCTTTTCCTTTTCCTTGAATGTCTGACGAATCTTAAAAGCTTTAGTGTGAACCTCACCAGATGAACAAGCAACTGGTTTTATAATGGACATTAACAATTTCTTTCTAGGCTCTTGTTCACTAGCAAATGACTCAAACACATCATTATATAAGATTTCTAAAGGTTCATCTTCAATGTATTCATGTTCCTCTGGCTCATCATATTCATCATCTACAACTGGTTCATTATTCATAACTGGCTCATCATATTCATCATCTATGATTGGCTCATCAGTCATAACTGGCACATCATTCATAACTGGTTCATAATTCATAACTGGCTCATCATCCATAACTGGCTCATTATCCCGTATCACTTGTGAAGGTCCATCAAATGTTCCATATGGCACAATAGACTGGGAGTAGTCTAATTTTTTCCTAGAAGATCCAACAACTTTCCCCTTCTTTTGGTTCCTATCTAGTTCAGGGGAGACATCAGTAACCAACTCCTTAATAATAACCTTGGTGGGGGACAAAAAATAACTGTTAACCCTTGTATGCCCATGCTCTATGTAGATTCTTAAAAGGTTATTTTTTTCCACATAATTTGACAATACATGCACATCCCCATCATTTCCTAGAGGTAACAGACCAAAGTCCAACTCTACTTCTGGAATAAGAAAAAGATAATACAAAGTTTGCCCTTCTACGTACCCTATTTCTCGAACCATTGTATCCAACTCGTGCACAGAGAAAACGTCAATATCTACGAAGTCAACATAGTCTATTGTTCCATCTACGTACCTTCTCCCAGGGATTTTCGTGAATATCCCACCATGATGGATTTTCAGAGTGAAGTAGTTGCTTATTCCCTATGAAATAAAGAATAACAAAAAAAAAATTCAACTATTTGGGCATAATATCAAATCGACACAATCAAAGATCACTTTAGTAAGTCACTTACGGTATATCCTTTCCAAATCATAGTTTGATGCTTTTGTGTGTTTGGAACGAACTGACCATAACGTTAACACCATTATCGTTTTCAATCGGAAGATGATCCTCGCCTTGTGTTCTGTTGGAGAAGACGAAGATGAATGCGGAAGGGTAATGGGTAGCTGGGGAAGATGATCTTTGTACTTAATTGCAGAGATCATGCGTATATTATGTGCATAATGAAGGATTATTAGAGTGACTGCAAGATGAAAAGAAAAATTTACCCCTTCACTAACGGTACAAAAGTGACGGGGTTAGGGTCAAGGACCAATCGCGCAATGAAATGAAACCTTAAGGACCATTCGCGTGACTTTTTGCTAGGAAGTCCTCAAAGTGCGATATTCTGTAAACCACAGGGACCAATTGTGAAATTTTGTCTTCAATGCCGTTAATTCCTAGGATGGGGCTTTCTAACGATGCAACACCTCGACCAGGTTTTCTTCTGGATTTGGATTTTCCGATTTTGGGATTACCTCAATTGTTGGTGTCAGGATCCGACTGCTAGAGTTTGAGTAAGTATTATGATTAATGACTTTTACTTTGTACTCATGAACTAAATCAAAAGCTATGCTTTTTAGAAATGGTTTTCATTCCCGTCTCCTTTTGTAATATTAAATCGATGGAAAACAAGTCGCAGGGCAAATAACTTCTCGCCACCACCATCAGATATTGGACATAGAAGTCAGCAAAAGGTAGTCAAATTTTCCCTCATTAAACCTTTACAAAACGGATTCATCTTTAGTCTTTCAAAGAGGAGACTATTTGGGTTTTCCTAAGGTGTGGATTTGTTCTGTGATCATGGATGGTTGGAGAGATGAAGGTGTTAATTACAATTAACATGTCACAAGAAGAAGGTCAATTGAATTTGCTGCTGGAAATGTCCGTTTCTACACTGGGTTCCTACACTTTAGTTTTAGATGAATGAGAAATATAAAGAACACCATTAAATTTACTGTTGAAGTCTGCAATTTCTTTATTTTATGATTTAGACAATATGAGTTACCTCACATGTTTTTTTAATATAAAGCAATTGATGTGATTTCAATGGTGGATGTGATATGGTTTTGATTTAGGGGCAAAATTCAACCAACTAAACGAACCAAAAAACAAGGCAGGGGCAAAATTGTCCGGCGGATTTGAAGGTAAGCTTGGATCTTTTGACCTTCATAGAGCTTCTTTACCAGACCTTATATAGAAGCCAAACTATATTGAACTAAGCTTTTATGTTTTAATGACAAATAAAAAATGGCGTTGCATGTGTTTCTGAATTTTTTGGTTATAGCAGAACAATTTCAAATTAAGGTATTAAACATTATTTATTTTATTTATATTTGGTACAACACTTATATAAGTGATATGATAGAAAGTTTATTGTGATGTAATGCAGACAGTGCCACTGTTTCAAATATGATGAACAATCAGATGTAGCAGAACATGAAGGTAAAAAATTATGCCTCAAGTTTTATGTTTTTTATTACCTGGATAATTTTTGTTTGATGCTTTTGTGGTTTGTGTTGGTCATTATAAATTGCTAGTACCTCAACGTTTTAGTAAGAATATAATTTTATCCAAAATGGTATCCTTTTTACACTTTTGCATGTACTGTCCTTCAAAGATCTCTCTGGTTATAACATTTTCCTACTATATATTGCTAAAGTTATTCTTCTGCTTTCATTGCATTCAAAATTGTTTGTTTTCCCTTTAATTGATTTACAATAAACTACGCTTATTTAACCTCCAATCAATCTGGAAATAGAGGAGGATATAATTCATACACTTAATGACATTGCTAAACGAGCAGGACAAAGATGATACTTCACTAGAACAAATTGTCCCTGGATGGTTTCTAACATTGTCCACAGAGTGGTTCAGCTTTACCTTTGTAAGTACTACCGTCTTCTTTGGGGACCAGTGGCAGTTGAAGAAGAACAAAAACAGAACCTGGAGTGTTAAAACAGTGAATACACATTATCACCTTGGAATGTATAGCGATCTTAATTCGGATTTGGGTTTTCAATTTGTTAATGGAATTTGATAATTAGCTCTACGAAAGCATCCAACATTCATCTAATCCCCCCCGCAACGCGGGGAACCTTCCCTAGTATATCATTAATTCACAACATCCTTATGAACAGTAGGTACTGTTCATCGGGTTATATAGTTACTCCACCAGGGTTACTTTAATCTCCACCGCCTACTTTATCTAATCTGTTCTAATGAAAAAAATCCAACATCCACCGTCTCACGCCTCCGACTTCCAACTGCGACGCCCCCCAAAACCATCGCTATCGCCGAATCCAGCCACCACACCATTCACATCGTTCGATTTCTTCCACCTCCTCCCCTTTTTTAGCAAACGTTTTTTCTTCCTTCAGTGAGGTTTGATACATTCAACTTTCATGATTTACTTTGAGTTTATGATTCGTTAGAAGGTGGGTTTTTATGGATTTTGATTGCTTCTCACCAGGCAAGTAAAAAAATAAGTGGGGTTCGAGAGACACTGTCAGAGAGAGCTGAGTCTTACTCTTCACCGTCTCTGCTTCCGAGTCGATGAAGACGGAGAGGCTATTGTCGGTGGCACTCTTGACGAGGGTCTACCTGATTGTGATATGTTTGTGAAACGAAAACCAACGATCCTTCGCTTCCATGGATTCCGGACGACCGGAAAAATCTTCTAAACTAGGCTGAAGAAATTGTCGCATGAAAAAGAGCCACTTCTTATTCCCTGATGTGTCGCTTCCATGTAATGGTAAGTCTCAAGTCGAACACCCTATTCCCGAGTTGAACTTAACGAGAGAAAGGAAAGGAAATGAGTGGAAACGAGAAGAAAATAAAAGAAATTGGTGTTCCCAAGTTTCATTAAAGGAGGTAAGTGGAAGGAAGTGGAGAGAAATGGGAGGATCACTTTCCCTCCTAACTTTCCTTCCGATTTAGGAGGATTTGGAAATAAAGAACAAAATGACTCAGGAACACAAAAGAAAATTTTGTTTTCCTTTCCTTTCTCTTCTTTTTCTCTCATAACTTTCTTTTCTGTTCTTTTCTTTTGTTAAACTCGGGAACGAGGTGGAAGGGATTTTTGATCCGCCTTATTATGAACGGTTCCTAAATGTCATAAAATTTGTTGTTCATTCTATTCTAAGGGGGTGTTTGGCTTAGCTTTTGAGAGGGCAAAAGTCCTTTTAGGAAAAGATTAAAGGAAAAAGATGTTTGGCAAAAGACTTTTAAAAGCTACTTTTGGATTTTGGATAGTAGGAAAATCAACTTTTTGGAAAAGTTAGGAAAACTTGACTTTTTGCAACTTTTCCAAAAATGACTTTTGCCCTCTAAAAAGCTAAGCCAAACACCCCCTAATTTCATGATTTAACCTTATTAGATATAACTTGGTATGTTGAGAACATGAGGTACTAATTTTTTGTATCGATCATGTTTTTATGTGTTTTTTCTTTAACTAAAAGGGCTCTTCATTATTTTCAGGATTTCATAGATGCATCAAAGTTTCATGGTATACTTCTATTTGGATTTCAACAAATCTCTGGTGGGAATGCTCTTCCTATTTGGTACCTCACTCACTTTCCAAAATTATTCTTGGAGAGTAAATTACATTTTTGTCTTGTCCCTGAGTTTGTTCAAAAATCTCAGTTTTGGTTCCAGATAGTTGCTACAATTCATTATGGAACCGGTGCTATCTCTGGTTTCTTTAGCCAAGATTCTATTAAACTTGGTGATTTTATTACCAAGGAACAGATAAAGATTAACAAATCATGCAATCTTTTTATTAAATTTTTTCATTTTAACAATTACCCGTTTTCAGGATTTCATAGAAGCAACCAAACAGGCGATATGTTTGGTGTTGGGTGAACATAGAACTGTATATGGTAAATACTGGTGAGTATATAACCAATTGTAGGTTTATTAGCCACAGTTTCATATATGATAAGGACAATGATTTTGCTGATATTGATAAATATTATTTTGCTTTATTAAACATATTAATCTAAATTAAATATAACATGTTGACTGTTTTTATGTGATAAGTGATAGCTTGAACTCTCTTTGGTGGCTATCATCTCGGTTCATCCATATGCAATAAAGAATTGGGATGCATATTAGGGCATAAAGGTACTCTCAGAAGGGTTAAATTGTAAATTTCACACATAATTAGTGGTTTCTTATTCAGCATCACTTTTAAACATAAGGGTAAAACAGTCATTTACTTTAAACAGAAGGGTGAAATGGTCGCTCCTTCACATAAATAGTAATTTTTTATTCAGTAGATGGCTTTCTCCTATCCAATTCAATTTATGACTATTTTGCCCTTGGTGTTACTTTGGTGAAATTCAACATTTCTGGATATTACTTTGCAAAATCTATTATATTATAGCAATATGATCCAATTACAAAGCAAATTTTGTTTTTATTTGACTTTATGTACACACATCTAAATCAAAAACAACACCGATTGTCCCACACAGATCCTTCTTGATTATTGGGTAAATAAAAAAGCACTATGAAATATTAATTTAGTAATCGGTGTCATTGGGCTCAGTGAATGACTCATCACTTCCATAAGGTCAGCAGTCACTTATTGATAGTAGTCTAGCGGTTAGCAAGTAAACCCTATGAAATTATTCTCTGCTTTATGAGTCTTGATAAAAGTTTTTAAATTTGATATATAGCATGAACAGTTGCAAAGAAATGCTTGGTAATGTGACTTTTTATTTTCCAAAGCATAAACAGTTAGAAACAATCTGTTTTCTTTTTATTTAAGTTAAAAATGCATCTCAAGTTTTATTTTTTCTTCAATTTTTATTAATGTTCAATTATTCTTTTGTCTTACTTTCATCTTCTTTGATCAAAGAAGAGTACCACTTGTGTTCAAATTTTTGTGATTCTGCCTTTTCGTAATAGTCCTTTGGATGAGCTAATCTATATGATGATAATTGTTCAGCTATTAGTCTTAATAATAGTCCTTTTAGTGTGATTTGTGATTCACTAATAGTTTTTGCTATTTTTGGATTATAATGACTAAGGGTTACTTATTCTTAAACTATAATGGCTATAGTTTAGTTTATTTTTGTAATTGGAGCTTCTCTTCTGATTGGGTTCTGTTTTTTATCTTTTTGCAGGTCATATGCTTTGTATTTTGACTGCCATGTTTAAGCATCATGAAAGCCCCTTTTAAAAATCCCAGTTAAGCCCACCTAATATGTTTTAAAGTTTCTTCCCTCATGTAAACTTCCACTATCTATATTTTGAGAAAAATGCACATACACATGTGACTGAACCACGTCTTTAAGAGGTTTTTGTAAGTACGTCCTTTTGAAAGCTGTAAATTCATAAGAAAAGACAAGGTGTCTATTTGACTACTTTCTTGCTATTTTTTTCAAGAAATTGTAAATAATATTTATAAAAATGTTTTCATGTTCGAAGTCATTATATGAATTCATTCACTATTTTGATCGAAGATCTGTTGGACTTGACTGAAAAAGAACATGCGAGTGAAGCATATTTGAAAGCAATAGAGAACAAGATAGATGAGGTCGTTGAAGATGCTGCGGAGTTTGCATATGAAAGCCCTGTTCCTCAAGAACCCAACTGCTATAAAACGTGTTTGCGGATCCAAGAGGCTTTGGAATATGATCTAATGGCAGTTATAGGTGTGAGGACCCCAAGTTCACTCGAGGCACTGCTGTAATTCATTTTTCATTGCTGCTGCTATTTTCACTTATTTGTCTATTATAGCACCCTATTTTCAACTTTTCTTATCAGTGAATTGTATTTCAAGGTATCTGTCTAGTTATAACAATAAAAAATCTGAAAAAAAGCCTTCTGACCCATGGGAAGCATGGGTCCCTACACTAGTTTAAATTAAAAATACAAAAGATCAAAACTGAAAGAGTAATATATAACATGAGGGACCATAAATGTAAAAGATAGTATTAAACTATTAATGACGTCTAACTGACTTCTAACATATGTTTGACTTCTAACATATGTTTTTAAGTATTATTTTGGGTATCAATAACAACACCCCATTATCTGTTGGTGATTTTATATCACTAATATTATATAAGTGTAATGGGGTTAATTTGTTGATCAATGTCACTTTGACAATTATCGAACATATTAGTATGGTGCAGAGTGCACATTTGTTTGATTTTGACATTGTTGAAAGTATACTGCTATTTAGGGGCGAAGCCCCTGAACTAACGTGGGTCCGGGGGCAGCGCCCCTGGGAGCGGGGTCCAAGGGGAGGCAGCCCCTGGCTGCGGTCGATATAGCATATGATATGGGAAGGCTTAGTAGATATACTAGTAATCCTAGTTCACATCATTGGCAAGTTGTAAGTAGAGTATTCAAGTATTTGAAAGGGACCATGAATTATGGTTTAACTTATAGTAGATATCCTTCTGTTTTGGAAGGTTATTCAGATGCCAGCTGGATTAACAACTTAGAGGATCACTCCTCTACAAGTGGTTGGGTGTTTCTTCTTAGAGGAGGTGCCATTTCTTGGGCATCTAAGAAACAAACTTGTATTACTAACTCAACCATGGAGTCTGAGTTTGTTGCATTGTCTGCTGCTGGTAAAGAAGCTGAGTGGCTAAAGAATTTGATTTATGAAATTCCATTATGGCCCAAACCGATATCTACCTTTTCTATCAGATGTGATAGTGCTGCAACCTTGGCTAAGGCTTATATTCAAGTGTACAATGGAAATTCTAGACATTTAGGAGTTAGACATAGCATGATTCGTGAGCTCATCATGACTGGTGTGATATCTGTTGAGTTTGTAAGAACTCAGTTCAATTTAGCCGATCATCTAACCAAAGGGTTAGCAAGAGATCTTGTGCACAAGGCGGCTGTAGGGATGGGTTTAAAGTCCACTTAAAATCTTTTATATTGAGATACCCAATTCCCATCTAATGCAATATTAGATGTTGAATTCAATGTGGAAAGCTTGATATTTGAAGATTGGAACACATTTTATGATCATCCCAAGGTATGTGTTCGGTACTGCAAGTTAAGGAGGTTGAAATTTTATTTCTTAATAGTTCTTTGAAAAATTGCATTTGCAGGTGCAAGAACAAAAGAACTACCTATATAAGCATGAAGTTTAGCTGCTTCAAGAAGTTGGGACTTGGCTTTGATATGCTTGTTGAAGGATGGGACACAAGCTAGTAAAATATAGTGTCAAGTTAGAACTTTGAGAATGAAAACTGTTGTGTATATTATCTTCTTGTATTCACTTAGAATAGAAAGGGTTCAATCCTTAGTGACACCCTGATATTCGAATATTTGGAATGAATAATATACTAATGTGAAATTCAATCATCACGATATTTCATTTATGCATCAGTTTGTTGTTGTTATGATTTTATTTTAAGTTAATCAAGATTACACTTAAATGGGGGAGGTTTGTTGGTGATTTTATATCACTAATATTATTTAAGTGTAATGGGGTTAATTTGTTGATCAATGTCACTTTGACAATTATCGAACAAATTAGTATGGTGCGGAGTGCACATTTGTTTGATTTTGTCATTGTTGAAAGTATACTGCTATTTAGGGGCGAAGCCCCTGAACTAACGGGGGTCCAGGGGAAGCGCCCCTGGGAACGGGGTCCAAGGGGCAGAGCCCCTGGCTGGAAATCTCGTAAAATGTCTCATAAATCTCGTATTTTTGTAAAACACCCGGTTTTGTAATCCATTTATAAACCCGATTTTATGTTAGTTTTGACAGGTAATATGACCGTTTTTTGGACAGGAAGTTGTTTTCCTGTAACTACCATATTACAGTTTTAAGACAGGAAGTTAGTTTCTGTTATATGATCAATTTCGGGTTCATTTTGGGTACAAATATCATAACATCTTCTTCATTCTCCATTCTAGAAAAACAGTGAGTTTCATCCGATTAGAGATTTTGAGTGTACCCTCGAAATGCTTTAATCTGAAAGTGTTTCACAACTCTCACTGATCCAAGATTATCTATATCCCAATTTTCTAACAAAGATTAAAGCATTCTGTGATCATGGCAAGTGGTGATTCTGTGAAGGAAATGACAAGTAAGTTTGAAATACTGAACAAGTTTGAAGGGCAAGAGTTTCGTAGATGGCAGAAGAAGATGAAGTTTCTCCTTACCACTCTGAAAGTGGTGTATGTTTTGAGTACACCCATGCCAGTCTTACCAGAATCTGTTGAAGATGAACCTTTGGAGGCAACAAGAAGAAGATCAAAGTGTGAAAATGATGATTACATATGTCGTGGTCATATTCTCAATGGTATGTCTGATTCTCTTTTTGATATCTATCAAAATTTCGAATCTGCAAAAGAACTGTGGAATTCTCTTGAATCTATGTACATGGCTGAAGATGCTTCTAGTAAGAAGTTTCTTGTTAGTAACTTTATGGGTTACAAGATGATTGACTCTAGGCCTGTTATGGAACAATTCCATGAAATGTTAAGGATTCTAGGACAGTTTGCTCAACACAATTTGAAAATGGATGAAGCCATTTCTGTGGCTATGATCATTGACAAACTGCCCCCTTCTTGGAAGGATTTTAAACACAATCTGAAACATAACAAAGAGGAATTGATTTTGACTCAACTTGGAAGCCATTTAAGGATTGAAGAGTCAATAAGGACTCAAGAACTTGACAACAATCCTAAAGGCAAGAACCAAGTTGGTTCCTCTTCCGTGAACATGGTGGAAGGAGAAAGTTCAAAGAATCCCAAGAAGTTTAATGGAAAAAGGAAGTTTAAAGGAAAGGATGACAAGTCTTCCAACAAGAAGGCTAAGTTGGTTTGTTGGAATTGAAACAAACCGGGCCACTTCAAGAAAGATTGTCGTCTTCCCAAAGTGAACAAGGATGGTGCTGGACCAAGTGGATGCAAGGATCCAGAAAAGCAACAAGGTCAGATTTCTGTTTTCATGCAGAATTCTAAATATATTCAGAATTATATTTCTATGATTTCTGAAGCATTTTATGTGCAGGATGATAATGTTGCATGGTGGGTTGATTTGGGAGCAACAAGTCATGTTTGCAAAGATCTATATTGGTTCAAGGACTTTCAACTAATTGTAGATGGATCT